AACTAAAACAAATATATAACATTCAAATAATCAAGAAGGAAAAACTGGAACTTGCTTAGTCTAGAAAAAAGAAAGGGACCAGACATGGGAGCACACACATGTACTTCCAGCCACTCACTTTAATCCCAGGAGTTTAGGGACACATAGTGAGACCTTGTCTCAAAAAAAAGCAAACAAAACAGGGGCCAGAAAGATGGTTCAGTGGGTAAAAGCAGTTGCTATGCAAACCTGACAATCTGAGTTCAATCTGCAGAACCCACATAAAGGTGTCAAAAAGAATTGATTCCACATAATTGTTCTCTGACTTTCATACATACCACCACACACACCACACACACACACACACACACACACACACACACACCAATAATAACAAATAAATTTATAATTTTTTTAAAAAAATAGGCTGATGAGATGGCTTCTAGGATAACAATGCTTGGCATCAAGCCTGATGACCTGAGTTCTATTCCTGGAACCTACTTGGTAGAAGAGAACTGATTCCCACTGAGTTATCCTTTGACCTCCACTTTGTGCATGATACGCAAACACTTGAATGCCCCCCCACACAAATAATTAACTAAAAAAGTGCTGGGGGTGTTGCTCAGAGAGGCCATCCAGCACATTAAAGATCCTGGCTTAGATCCCAGCATTGCATAAAATGAGGTGATGGAGGTCCATGGGCCTTTAATCCCAGCACCTCCAAAAAGGGGAAGCCAGAGGAACAAACTTCAAGCTCAACCTTGGCCTCAGCCAGCTTGAGGCCCACATAGGCCACATTAGATCCTGTCTCAAATCGAGAGAAGAAAAGTTCAATCTAAATGGAAACAAACAAAATAACAAAACACAAAGCAAAAGAAAAAAGAAAAGGAATTAAACTTTCTATATTCTGGCCTGCTTCCTCTCCCTTGGAAGTATACTGTCCTTTAATAAACTGTTCCTGCTTCTGCTATTTAAATAGCAAAGAAAGGAGGCTGGAGAGATGGTTCAGCAGTTAAGAGCACTGGCTGCACTTCTAGAGGACCTGGGTTCAATTCCCAGCAACCACATGGCAGCTCACAACTGTCTCTAATTCCAGGGGACCCAACGCCCTCATACATGCAGGCAAAACACCAACACATATGAAATTAAAATAAATAAATCATTAGGAAAGAAATTAAAAACAAAAAATCAGGGTAAGGGTTGGCAGAGATGCCTTGGTGGGTAAAAGTTCTTATTTCAAAGCCTGACAACCGAACTTGGATACTGGGAACTTATAGCAGAAAGAAACAACTACTGAAAGTTTTCCTTTCACACTCACACATGCACAATGGAATATATATTCCTGCACTCATGTTTGAGCAAGCAAACACACGAACATGCACACACACATATACTCCATACACATAGTAATAATAATAATAATAATAATAATAATAATAATAATAATAATAATATAATTATTATTATAAAGCCAGGCATAGCGGTTGACACCTTTAGTCCCAGCAGTCAGGAGGCAGAGGCAGGTCAATCACTGAGTTCTAGGCCAGCATGGTCAACAGAATTATTTCCAGGACAGCGAAAGATACAAAGAGAAACACTGTCTTGAAAAATCAAAAAATAATAATGATGATAAATGTAAGCCAAGCAGTGGTGGCATACACCACCTCTGAGTTCAAGGCCAGCCATGTCTACAAAGGAGTTCCAGGACAGCCAGGACTGTCGCATAAAGAAACCCTGTCTCTAAAATCCAAATAACAACAACAACGACGACAACAACAATAATAATAATATCAGTGTAAATATAAACAAGAAAGCATGGCCTAGTGGTACCTGTAACCCCAGCACTTGGGAAACTGAGACATGAGGATCTCCATTTCCAGGCCAGCCTAGGCTATTGATACCAGGTCTTTAAAAATAATAATCCACAAGAGGAGCCATAAAGATTGCTTAGTGGGTAAAGGTGCGTACCATGCAAGCCTACAGACCTGAGTTCCATCCTCCAAACCTACAAAAAGGTAGGAGAGGCAACTCCACAAAGTTGTCCTCTAACCTACAAACAAACATGCATACACACTAAAAATGATTTTCTTAAGAGCTGGGAATGTGTAACTGTAATAGAGGGCTTACCTGGAATTTATGTGACTAATGTTTGATCTCCATCACCACAAAAAAAAAAAGAAAATATAAAATAGGATGTTAATAAATGTAGTTATAAATAGCTACATATCATGATCTTGAAGAGATTTGTTAGCATTATAAATATCCCAGTCATATATATACTAATTTCTACATTCCATGAAATGACAACTAAAAATCAAATAATACTATGTATGGTGACACATGCTTGCAATCCCATCACTTGGGAGGCAGCAGAAAGAATTCAAGGTCAGCCTGGGCCACACAGTGAGACCCTATCTCAAAATAAAGACAAAAGGAAGCCAACCAAAGAAAGAAAGTCAAGCGAGAATATCTTGTGAGTCTTAACTGACTTCAAAGTTTAGAAGAGACAATGCAAAGTAGCTAAGAAAATTTTGGGAAAAATACTAAATTAGGGTCTTATGCTACTGAAAAAAGTAGAATGCTACTTTACTTTATGTACAATAATATTATCCAGACAGAATAAAGAACTAAACATAAGAAATGTGACCATAACGGTATTAAAAGTATCTTATAAGGGGGATTGCAGGAATGCTTAGCAGTTAAAAGCATTTGTTGCTCTTACAGAGGATGTGGGTTTAGTTCCAAACACCCACATGGTGGCTCACAACCAAGTGTAACTCAGGTTCCAGATCTGTTCCCTTATTCTGATCTCCTTGGGCATTAGTCATGCATGTGAAGCACACACATACATGCAGGCAAAACACTCATACACATAAAATTAATTGAATGGACAACTAAAGAAAAATAAAAGTATATAATAAACATTTTTACAGTTTTTGAATAGAAAAGAACTTTCTAAGCAATGCTCAGGCCTAAATGCCATGAACAAAAGATTTACATATTTTATTACCTTAAAAACTCTTGTGGGAAGGAAACAAAAAACAAAATGTCATTGCCAGGCCATGGTGGTACAAGCTTTTGAGCCCAGCACTCAGGAGGCAGATGGATCTATGTGAGTTCAAGGCCAGCCTGGTCTACAGAGTGAGTTCCAGGACAGCCAGATCTACACAGAGAAACCCTCTTATAACCTACTGTATGGAAACAAAAAAAAAAGATAAAATTTAGGTTTTGTTTCACTTTTTCTTAAAAATAAAAAATCTTCCTTACCATTAAAAACTAAAAACAGATATAGATTAAGGGGGAAAGACTAAATATATGTAATAAAGACTAATTGTCATCATATTTAAGGAAATCATACAAATTGGTAATCTAAGAACAACCTTACTAAAATAAAACATCAAAAGATAGTATCACATACTTCAGATAGGCCAAACTTCAAATGAACAACAAATATTTTACAAAAAATGGTAGGAAAAAAAGGTTGGAAGAGGGCTGGAGAAATTGCTCAGTGGTTAAGTGCAGTTGCTGCTCTTACAAAGGACCTTGGTTGGATACCCAGCACCCAAAAGGTGGCTCACAGCCATTCATTACTCCTGTTTCAGGGAATTCAAAGTCCTCTTCTGACTTCTTCAGGCACCAGGCATATACATGGTGCACATACATATATTCAAGCAAAAATTCATACACATAAAAAATATAAAAATTAAGAACACTAAAAAATAAAGTGATCAATTTGGGAATCAAAACATTAATTAAATACCATTCACTTATCCATCAAATTGCCAAAAATTAAAAGTGCTAATAATATCCAGTAGTTATGAGAATGTAAAGAAAGGAATACTCACATATTCTGCAAATAGGATCAGTTCAGATTCTTTACCACGCTAAATCAGGCAGCATCTACTGAAAATTTAAACGCAGATACCTTTTAACCTAACAAGAACAACAAAGTCCAGTGGCACTGGGATAACAATTTTGGAGGTCTTACAGAGGAACTCATAACTTTTGTGTCAAGATACTGAATTTGGACTCCCATGTTACTGACTCTCCGGACACTACTGGGTGTCCTACTGGTGTGAAAGGTTATCCCAAGTCTCTGAGATAAACAGTGTCGTTTTTATGGGAAAACATAGACCAAAAGTTTTTAAAAAGTACACATTCTACTATAACGGAAACTTACCTAAGTCAGGCTCTGCAGTCAAGTTACAGGCCGGCTTTGAAATAAACAGTCATTCCAGGCCTGTTGGACAGAAAGTTCTAGAAAGGAAAATAGCTCAGAAACGTCTTAAAGTCTCAAGATGGCCAGCTCGCCTCACCAGCTAAGAAACCTACTAGTGGCTGGGCTGCTGTATGTGAGGGATAGCTATCCAAAAACGTAGGAATTCCGGGGTTTACTTTTTAATATGGTGATAAATTGTGAATATCAAGTTCACAATTACAACTATTTTAAATTTTGCGCTTCAGTTTCACAAAGTTCACTATGTTCTCTACATCTCCAGTCACGACTACCCTCTAATTTCGGGAGTTGTTTTTCATCGCCCCCAAAAGAAAACTGTACCTGAACATGGAGGTAGTTAGTCCCTTTGATGAATTGATAACACAACGAAAAATAAAATGAAATAGAATTAGTTTGTATAGAACTGAAAATGCAAGTGACAGACCATGTGGCGGAGGGGTAAATGTATAATGAAAAGCATACACATCGGTGGAAAGCGGAAGGATACCTGTAGTAAAGTGATACACATGCAACAACAGAAGACTACTTGTGCAGTGCCGTACAATTCTATATGTACAACAACAAAAGAGTACATACTTGGCGGAATAGACATATAACCGGAATACACTTATAACTGAGTCACAGACTTGTGGCGGAGGAATGGACTTGCAGAGTTGAGGCATAAGTGGATGGCATATGTGCGGAGGGATCAGTCCATTCCGGGGCAAAGCATCCCGGGCCTTTTTAACTGAGTCGCAGGTCTAAGGCAACCGTTTAGTGCTGCAGGGCACGATGCTCTGGTAGCATGTCAGAAGCTGAGGCAAATGTTGGGATGGCCTGCAATGCTGGGCCTGATGAGAAGAAGTTGCAAGTTGCAAGTGTTGTAGGACATAGCCAACTGCCTAAGAATCCATTCCATCAGGGCCACAAGTACCTCCACCACTAGGTAAGACTCCCTGAGAGGGCCTTACTATGCAGTTCTTTGGTCCTTATTGAAGTTGTGAGGTGAATGGAACCTGCCTTTATCTTCCATTTTCTGCCTTCTGGGACCACCTACCACCTCTAGATGCCCATGAGGTCTTCTTCAGCCAGGCACTCCCCTGACTACTTTGTGGCCAAAGTTCTGGAAGCCCACAGACCTTGTAAGGAAAAAATCTAGAATCCAGTCAAGTGGTATTTTTCAGGCTAGTTCTAGTTTGGCAGTTTAGCAGTGAATGGAGTTTTGTATGTAAATTGCAATGGAATTGGGGGTGGTTATGATTGAGTAGGCCCTTAGGACATTAGGGTGAAAAACAAACCATGCTCTGTGGAGAGCACACCAGAAGGGTAGTGTGCCCCAAGAGGTGGGACAGGAAAAAAAATGTGAGAGGCAGCACACAAGAGGTGTTTTTTCCAAAAATAAAAGTAGTTGATAGCTTGTACAAAAAAATTGGTAGTGGATTTGCTGATATTTGTTGTTTGTTGAAGGTGATTTTGCACTGATATTGATGAAGGATAGGGGTTTATAGTTTCTTTGGTTTCTTGTTGTGTGGCCCAGGCTGGCCCTGAAGTGGATACAAGGGATTCTCCTGGCTTCCCAATATTTGAAATTAAGACCTATAATGAAGTTTGTCAATCGCTCTCTCTCTCTCTCTCTCTCTCTCTCTCTCTCTCTCTCTCTCTCTCTCTGGTTTGGGGATTTGGTCTTTTGGTTTTTTGGGATAGATGTCTCTCTATATAGTTCTGGATATCCTGGAATTTGAAGACCAGGCTAGCCTCTCACAGAGATCCACCTACCTCTGCCTCCTGAGTGCTGGGATTAAAGACGTGCACCACTACACCCAGCTAGTCCACAGTTTTTCAATGACTAAACTACTAGTTGTATGTCCATTCAGACTTCCTTGTATGTCCATTCACACTTCCTAATACTGTCTAGATACTGTTAGATTTTTCTCTTTCTGGAATTTTTTTCAATTATTTTGATTAACAAGATTTTTAGGATACAATTGTCCAATTATTGTAAAAAAATTCTTTTTCATTTCTTTATGGGGTGACAAGAACAGTCTTATTTTCATTTTCTGAGTTATTTCAATCTTTTCACAGTTGCCTATCTAGCTAAAGTTTTGTTCATCTTTTGCAAGAACCAATTTTGGCTCTTCAGTTCAAAACACTTGCCTAGCATGGCCTGGGCTTGATCATTAGCCCTGAACCAAAAAAAAGAACTAAGTTAATTTTGCAGATTTTCTACCTCTTTTGCTGCACTGTTTTGTTTTGGTTTTGGTTTTTTGAGACAGTTCAGTTCCATTGGTCTACCTGTCTGTTTTTGTGCCAATACCAAACTGTTTTCATTACTATAGCTCTATAGTATAGCTTGAAGTTGGGAGTGGTGATGCCTCCTGAAGTTCCTTTATTGCACAGGGATGTTTTGGCTATCCTGGCTTTTTTGTTTTTCCATATAAAGTTGAGTATTGGTCTTTCAAGGTCTGTGAAGAATTGTGCTGAGATTTTGATGGGGATTGCATTGAATCTGTAGATTGCTTTTGCTAAGATTGCCAATTTTACTATGTAGATCCTACCTATCCAAGAGCATGGAAGATATTTCCATTTTTTTGATATCTTCTTCAGTTTCTTTCTTTGGAGACTTAAAGTTCTTGTCATACAGGTCTTTCATTTGTTATCCCAAGATATTTTATGTTGTCTGTGGCTATTGTGAAGGGTGGTGTTTCTCTGATTTCTTTCTCGGCCCATTTATTGTCTGTACATAGTAGGGCTACTGATTTTTTGTTTTTAGTTAATCTTGTATCCTGCCACTTTGTTGAAGGTGTTTATCAGCTGTAGGAGTTCGGCAGTGGAATTTTTTGGAGTTTCTCTGTGTAGCTTTGGAACCTGTCCTGGAACTACCTCTTGTAGACCAGGTTGGCCTCGAACTCACAGAGATCTGCCTGTCTCTGCCTCCTGAGTGCTGGGATTAAAGGCGTGAGCCACCACTGCCCTGCTACTGCATTGGTTTTTTATTTCTGCTATGATCTTTATTATTCTTCCCTTCTTTTAAAGGCTTTTGGTTTAGTTCTTTTGTAGTTCCTTAAGTAGGAAAGCTAGGTTGTTGATTATAAATTGTTTAAAATGAGTTTCAGCTTTACATTTTTCTTTACACTGCTTTTGCTGCATAAGCTTTGGATTTTTCTTTTTATTTTCATGGGCCTGTTTCTAATTTTCCTTGTAATATTTTTCCTTTGGTTTGTATAAGAGTTCATTATTTAATTTCCACAACTCTGTTGAATATTTTCTGTTTTTCTGTTGGTTTATAATTTCTCGTCCTTGTAGTCACACAAAGTACTCTGCAAGGTTTTTTCATCCTGTCCTGGGGTTCTGAGTGCAACTCAGTAGTAGACTATTTTTCTAGCATGTGAAAGGCCATGAGTCCATCCCCAGCACTGCAAATTTCCCTGCAACCATTAAGAGGACCATGTAGTTTCATTTCAAGATACAAGATTTTGGCTGGGTGGTGGTGGTGACACACACCTCTAATCCTAGCACTCAGGAGGCAAAAAGAGGTAGATCTCTGAGTTAAAATACAGCCTGGTCTACAGAGTGAGTTCTAGGACAGCCAGGGCTAACAGGGAAACCCTGTCTCATGGGGGGGGAGACACAAGATTTTGTTTTGTTTTACATTTTTGTTTATGGTTCTTAAATATAGCCACATTATCATCTTAATGTTATCCCAGATCTACCAACATGACTACCCCCACACCCCCTCACCCCCTCTGAGGTTACAATTACAGACTATCACACCAGATCTTTTTTTTTTAAAGATTTATTTATTATGTATACAGTGTTCTGCCTGCATGTATGCCTGCAGGCCAGAAGAGGGCACCAGATCTCATTACAGATGGCTGTGAGCCACCACGTGGGTGCTGGAAATTGAACTCAGGACCTCTAGAGGAGCAGCCAGTGCTCTTAAGCAATGAGTCATCTCTCCAGACCCCAGGGTTGTTTTTTTTTTTTTAATGAAGCAAATATGTTTATTTATGTCTTTTAATTTTATCAAATACAGAGAAGTGTATTTAAGAAGGCAAATAGTAGCAGAGCATAGTGGCACATGACTTTAATCCCAGCCCTCAGGAGGGAGAAGCAGGTGGATCTCTGAGTTCGAGGTCAGTCTGATCTACAGAATTAGTTCTGGGGCAGTCATTTAAAAAGAAATGCTTATTACAAGTCTATCTTGTTTATCTTATCTTTTTTTCTTTGGGGGGCATTTAGGGGTTGGTTCTTTTGCTTGTTTTGGTTTTTAGAGACAGGTTTTCTCTTTGTAGTCCTGGCTGTCCTGGAACTTGCTCTGTAGAACAGGCTGGCCTCAAATCCACAGAGATCCACCTGTCTCTGCCTCCCAAGTGCTGGGATTAAAGCTGTGCAACACCACGGCCTGGTTTGTCTATCTTACCTTAAAGTAGAGAGATCATTAGATAGTACAGAAGATTTTCTAGATATTTTGTTTGGTTGCTTGGTTTGGTTTTGGCTTTGGCTTTGTGTCTTTTGTTTTGTTTTGTTTTTTAAATTTCATAAATTTTATTTCATAATTTCATATTTAATATTTCCATAACTCCAAGTTCACAATTCATAATCCATATTCCATAATTCACAAATTCGTGAATCACAAATCATAATTCACAAATTCATAGTTTATAATTAATATATTACAATTTGCATTTCATACTTAATAATTAATATTTCATTATTCACAAGTCATAATTCATAATACACAGTCCATATTTCATATTCCATAATTCATAGTTATTCATATTTCACAATTCATATTTCAAATTCCATGCTTTATATTACATATGTCATATTTCATATCTCACAATTCATTATTCATAATTCATGATTTTTTTATTTAGAGAATACTTTATTAGTTTTGTAATCAAACCCATGTAGGTAAGACTTTACATATTTAATACAGTGCATTACCCCTGTACAAATGGAAAAAATTAAATTCAACTTATGCATAAATAGCAGCAACAGCTTTTCCAGGTTCTGCAGTCATTTGAACAAAAGTGTAGAGACATCCAGCACACTCCATTTAAAAAAAACAAACAAACAAAAAACAAAAACAACAAAAAACAAACAAACAACAACAACAAAAGTAAAAAACAAAATCCCAGAAAACAGCAAAGTTCTGTTACTCTTGTGGTACCTGGCTCCATTTTTTTTTTAAAATTAGCTTCTCAATCATCACCTAGAAGGAAACCATTCTGAGCAACATCATTAAAAACAGCTCTGATAAAGCACGGTCACTACTATGTAT